AGCGGATTGTGTACCCTTTTGAGACAATATGGAATAGCAGTTACAACTGTTCTTTTTATATCCTGCTTTGCACCTCCAATTATGGTTTCTGTAATTTGCTATTCTAGAATTTTTTGGGTCAGTTATAAGGTTTCTCAACTAGTGAGAAAGCAGTTCAACTTGTATGCCACGCCTGAAGAATTAAATGCCACAGCAACTTCACTAGAGAGTCAAAGAGATTATTTTCCACATCGCGTTGACGATAAGGAAATGAAAATCCTGAAAGTGATCCTAGTCATCTCTGTTGCTTTCCTGATTTGTTACTTTCCAATAATGCTTATTAATTTTTTTGACAGTAAAGCAAAAATTCCTACACTTACCGCGCTAGCTCACTTGGGAGTCAACTTATCAAATGTGATCAATCCCATAATATACGTTGCTATGAGTGCCGAATGCCGAAAAGCATATTTTGAGCTTTTCAATAGCAAACAAGTCAGGCTGTCATTGCCAATTTCTTCAAATAATACAGCAACTTCATAGATGCTAAATATTTAATAATGCTCTATGACTTTTTATTTATGCAAATTTATATAAAAATTATTGTTATAAATGTCACAAATGTATTATTAGTGTACAATGCCCAAAATAATTAATGTGACCCTTAAATATAGAAATGTTTTAAAGTGATTGTGAAAATAAAGATATTTAAACAATTCCTCTTGATCATAAGAATAGTTCTGATATATATTTAATTAAGCATTATATTTAATTAAGCATAACGCACAAAACTATGAAATAGAAAATTAAATAATTTAGGTACCTTTAAAAAGTTAAGGATCAATTTTGAGTACGATTTCTAAATAAATCTGCATTAATTTATTTAATGCATTAATTAATTTATTTTAAGTTAGTCTAAAATATAACCATTAGTTCAAAATTATATTAAATTTTAATCTTGCGCTCTGTGTTCTAAAAATCTTAAAGTTTGAAATTGAATTTATTCAAATCGGATTTTAAGTAATTGAAAATAAGTTATTCCTCCTTCAATCGATACCATTTTTAACTACTTGACAAACAATCTATCCAAATAAAATGCTTTTTTAAATATATAGTTAAGAGCAACTAAAAATTCTACAAAGTGTAATTAAGAACAAAAATATCTTTTTAAAAACTTGTGTCTATTTTGGAAATTTTTATTAGCATTTTTATCATATAATTCGTTAAATATTACTGTATTCCCGGTAACCAAAGAGCTTTTGGAAGAGAGAGCTCACGTACAGAGCTTTTGGATGAATCTCTGCTCTAAGAACTAAAAACTCACGGAGAAATAAAATTATATTCTAAGAAAACATTCTGAAATTTTTAAGGATCATTATCATTTAAATAAAATAAAAAAAATATTAGTAATTTCCTGAAAATCATTTTTTTAATGAGCAATTTCTATAGTTCGTTTAGATTTTTCTGTTGCTCACAAGCTTTGAATGAATTTTTAAAGGCGCAAAAAGAAAAAAATAATTAAGAGTTTAAGGACTTCTATATTAGGTATAACATACCTGAAGTATAAAGTATCATATCTAACAAATTGAGTTTAATCCTTTCTTTCATGTCTGTTGGAAGACTTCTTTGTATTTATTTTGAAACATTTTTGCGTCTGATTTCGTCACTTTAATTATCATCTGTGATAATTATTTATCATATGTAATTAGGGATACTCCAAACCATAAAGGTTCAATCATAACACATAAAAATTTCTTTTATTATATAAAAACCTATGCGTGTAATGTTAAAGGAAATCAATAATTTTTTCATATTATTTATGAGAAATGCAACGTTTTTCTTAATGTTCTGTACAAACTTATTTATTATAATATAAAGATTTTACTAAACTAATGTTATGTACAAATTTTACTAGTTTAGAGAAAGTGACAAATTTTACCATTGTAGTATAAGTAATATTAAAAATATTATTTTTAGATGCGTTCTTGTAGTGGCGGAATATTTTAGTTCCGTGATTATAAAAAAACGAAGAAAAAAACATATGAAGATTGGTAAATGGCTTGTTGGTTGCCATTTACCGATTCTTTGGAATCTCTTACAGGTAGCTTTAACAATTTATATTACAAAAGCAAAAACATGAAATGTAAAACGAAACGTTGAATATTAAGAACATGAAACATTGAAATGAAACTGTTTACTTGATTTTATTACATTTCCTCAAGAAATGAGTACTCATTCATTATACCTCTTTCATTTCATTTTTTCTTATTTACTAATGAAGGATGTATTACATTAAGCCAATTGTTACCGGCGAAACTTAAATTCTAGAAGATAGTATTTCCCTCAGTGTGAAATTGTTTTTACATAGATCATTGCCAAGAAACGGTACCGACAAAAACGAAAAGAAATTTCTTAAAAGTTGAAGATTACTATTTTGCAATGAATAACTAACTAACCAAACACGATAATGTACTATTATATTTAAATTGTGCGTTAAGAATATGGACACAGTTTATGTAGTTAAAATTATTAATTATCCAGATTTTCATCCAATAGGATTCTAATATAAAATTTATATAAATTTTAGGTGTATTCAAATGGAAATGAATACCTTATTTCAAGCCATCTTTTTCCGTTTCCGAAACATTTCAATGGATAATGATACATTGGATATGAACCGAGAACAAGATAGATCTGATAAGCAGGAAAAATACAGAATTGCTCAAGTAGTCATTCTCTTAATTTCGTCTGTCGGAATATTTGCTAATTCAGTATCGATTCTTGCCTTGAGGAAATCGAAGAAGCTTCGATGCCCAACTACTGCATTTGTTATAACTTTATGCACAGCCGATTTGCTTTTTTGTATCCTCACAATAATAAATTACAGCATTCTCGATTGGAACCGCAACCACACTTTTTGCATTTTGATGACATGGGCGAAATTTTTAGTCGCTGGAGAATCGTTTCATTTAATGATTGGAATTACGATTAATCGATATATCTGTGTAATTTACCCAAAATATTATCGTTTGATATACAGAAAGAAATATTTAGTATTACAGTTAACTTTAACGTGGATCTATTCTTTTATTTTGTCAATTTTACCATTCTTTGGAATTGGAGGAAAATATGGTAACTATCCTAACAGCGGATTCTGTACCCTTTTGAGACAATATGGTATAACAGTTACAACTGCTATTTTTATATCCTGCTTTGCACTTCCAATTATGGTTTTTGTAATTTGCTATTCTAGAATTTTTTGGGTCACTTATAAGGCATCTCAGCACGTGAGAAAGCAGTGCAATTTGTATGTTACGCCTGAAGAATTAAATGCCACAGCAACTTCACTAGAGAGTCAAAGAGATGATTTTCCACATCGCGTTGACGCTAAAGAAATGAAAATCCTGAAAATGATGCTAGTCATCTCTGTTGCTTTCCTGATTTGTTACTTTCCAATAATGCTTACTAATTTTTTTGACAGTAAAGCGAAAATTCCTACACTTAATGCGCTAGCTCACTTGGGAATCAACTTATCAAATGTGATCAATCCCATAATATATGTTGCTATGAGTACTGAATACCGAAAAGCATATTTTGAGCTTTTCACTTGCAAACAAGTCAGGCTGCCATTGCAAATTTCTTCAAATAATACAACAACTTTGTAGATGCTAAATGTTCAATAATGCTCTATGATTTTTTTATTTAGGCAAATTTGTGTAAACATTATTGTTGTAAATGTCAAAAGTGTATTATTTGTGTACAATGCTCAAAATAATTAATGTGACCCTTAAATATTGAAATGCTTTATAGTGATTGTGAAAATAAAGATATTTAAACAATTCCTGTTGATCATAAGAATAATTCAGATATATATTTAATTAAAAAATCGCAAAAAATTATGAAATAGAAAATTGAATAATTTAGGTACCTTTAAAAAGTTAAGGATCAATTTTGGGTTCGATTTCAAAATACCATCTGCACTAATTTATAAGTTTATTTTAAGTTAGTCTCATAAATAATTTAAGTCACATCTAAGTATTCTAAAATATAACCATTAGTTCAAAAGTTATTAAATTTTAGTCTTGAGCTCTGTGTTCAAAAAATCTTAGAGTTTGAAATTTAATTTATTCAAATCAGAATTTAAATAATTGAAATTTGATTATTCCTCCTTTAATCAAAACCATTTTTGACAACTCGATAAACGATATGGTCAATTAAAATGCTTTTTTAAATATACAGTTAAGAGCAACTAAAAATTCTACAAAGTGTAATTAAGAACAAATATATCTTTTTAATAACTTGTGTGTTTGGACATTTTTATCAGCATTTTTCTCATATGATTTGATAAATATCATTGTATTCACGGCAACCAAAAAAATCATCACTTACTGCGCTTTTGGATGAATCTTTGCTCAAGGAACGAAAAACTCGTTGGGAAATAAATATTCTAAGAAAACATTCTGAATTTTTAAGGACCATTATCATTTCAAATAAAATAAAAGATTAGTAATTTCCTGAGAATCATTTTTTGATGAGCAATTTCTGCAGTTCGTTTTGATATTTCTGCTGTCCACAAGCTCTGAATGAATTTAAAAAGACGCAAAAAGAAAAAAAAAGGTTATAAAGAGTTCTATATTAGGTACAACATGATTAAAGTATAAGGATATGTATCTGATAGATTGAGTTTAATCCTTTCTTTCATATCTCGGAGATCTGTTGGAAAACTTCTTTGTATTTATTTTGGAGTTTTTTTTTGCGTCTGATTTTGTCACTTTAATTATCATCTGTGATAATTATTTAGCATAGGTTATGAGAGTTACTCCAAACAATGAAGGTTGAATCGTATCACATAAAAATTTATTTTAATATATCAAAACATATATATGTAATGTTTAAGGAAATCAATAATTTTTTCATATTATTTATGTGGAATGCATTAGTGTTCTGTATAAACTTAAGTAATATAATATAAAGATTTTACTAAAATAATGTTATGTGCAAATTTTACTATTATTATAATTTTTAGCATAAATAATATTAAAAATATTATTTTTAGATGTGCTTTTGTAGTGGCGGAATAGTTTAATTCCGCGATTATAAAAAAAAGAAGAAGAAAAAACACATAGAGATTGGTAAATGCCCTGTTGGTTGCCATTTACTGATTTTTTGGAATCACTTACTGGTACCTTTCGCAATTTCTATTCAAAAATATTACTTCATTATATTTTTGCAACTCCTCAATAAATGAGCACTCAATCATTATACTTCTTTTATTTATTTTTTGCATATTTCCTAATTAAGGATGCATTACATTCAGCCTATTGTTACCGGCGAAACTTAAAATCTAAAAGATAGTATTTTCCTCAATGCGAAAATTTTTTTGCATAAATCATTGCCAAGAAACGGTTCTAACGAAAAGGAAAAGAAATTTCTAAAATGCTGAAGATTGATAATTTGCAATGAATAACTAACTAACCAAACACAGTAATGCGTTATCATTTATAAATTGCATGTTAAGAATATGGACACAGTTTATGTAGTTAAAATTATTTAATATTCCGATCTTTCTCCCATAGGATTCTTATATAAAATTTATATAAATTTTAGGTTTATTCTAAAGGAAATGAATACCTCATTTCAAGACATCTTTTTCCCTTTCCGAAACAATTCATTGGATAATGATACTTTGGACATGAACCAAGAACAAGATAGATCTGATCTGCAGAAAAAATTCACAATTGCTCAAGTTGTCTTTCTCATAATTTCGTCTCTCGGAATATTTGGTAATTCAGTGTCGATTCTTGCCTTGAGGAAATCGAAGAAGCTTCGATGCCCAACTACTGCATTTGTTATAACTTTATGCACTGCCGATTTGCTTTTTTGTATTTTCACTGTAACAAATAACAGCAGGCCCGATTGGAACAGCAACCACGTTTTTTGCATTTTGATAACATGGGCAAAATACTTCGTTGGTGGAGAATCAGTGTATTTAATGATTGGAATTACGATTAATCGATATATCTGTGTAATTTACCCAAAGTATTATCGTTTGATATACAGAAAGAAATTCTTAGCATTTCAGTTAGCTTTAACGTGGATGCATTCCTTTATTATGTCACTTTTACCATTCTTTGGAGTTGTAGGAAAATATGGTTACGATCCTAACAGCGGACTCTGTATCCTTTTAAAACGAAATGGAATAACAGTTTCAACTTTTCTTTTTATATCCTACTTTGCACTTCCAATCACGGTTCTTGCAATTTGCTATTCTAGAATTTTTTGGATCACTTATAAGACATCTCAACAAATGAGAAAGCATTGCAATGTATTTGCTACGCCTGAAGAATTAAATGCCACAGCAACTTCACTAGAGAGTCAAAGAGGTGATTTTCCACATCGCATTGATGATAAAGAAATGAAAGTCCTAAAAGTGATGTTAGTCATCTTTGTTGCTTTCCTGATTTGTTATTCTCCAATGGTGTTAACTCTTCTTTGGGACAGTGCAGATGAAATTCCTGCACTTACTGCGCTATCCCAGTTGGGAGTCAACTTAGTAAATGTGATCAATCCCATAATATACATTGTTATGAGTGCTGAATACAGAAAAGCATATTTTGAACTTTTCACTTGCAAACAAGTCTGGCTACCATTGTCAACTTCTTCGAATGCAGCATTTTCCCCAAATAAAGCAACTCCTGAGATGCCAAGTGTTTGATATTGTGCAACAATTTTCTAATGCAGTTCAAATTGTATAAACATTATTTTTATAAGTACAGCAAATGTAATATTAGTGTCCATTTAAAAATATTAGTAATATTATAAATGTAATAGACATGCTCAAAATAAATAATGTGACCCTTATATTTAAAAATGCTGGAAACGGATACTGAAAATCAATATATTTAAACAGATACAGTTGATAATAATAATTTTGAAATATATTTATTTAAACTTTAAAAAATTATAAAAAGTAAGAAATGGAAAATGAAATAAATTAAAGTATGATTTTAAGTAAGATTTTTACATATAATCAGCACTAATTTATAAGTATATTTAAAGTTAATCTTATAAAATATTTAAATCACATCTAAGTATGCTAAAATCTGACCATTAGTTCATAAGTTATTAGTTTTCCTAATTTATATTATGTGGTCTAAACACGAAAATTCTTTTCGTTTAAAATTTAATAGTTGCATGAAAACTCTAAGTGAAATTTGAAATGAGCAAAAAAAAAAAAAAAAAAAAAAAAAAAAAAAAAAAAAAAAAAAAAAAAANAAAAAAAAAAAAGATTAAGGTCATAAGGACTTTTATATAATGTATAATATGTCTCAAGTATAAGGATCATATCTTTCAGATTGAGTCTAATACTTTCCCCCATGTCTCAGAGATATATCGGAAAACCTTTTATATTTATTTCGAAACAATTTTTTTTGTTTGTGTCTAATTTCATCACTTTAATTATCATTTGTAATAATTATTTAACATATATTAAGTGAGATTCCCCAAACCATGATGGTTGGATCATAGTACATAGAAATTTCTTTTATTGTGTCAGTACCTTTACGTGCAATATTTGCTGGAATCAATCATTTTTTATACTGTTTATGTGGAATGTAACGTTTTTATTCAGTGTTCTGTAGAAACTTCACTAAAATAATATAATATGAAGGTTTCACTACTTTAATGTTATGTATAAATTTTGCTTTCTTAATATTATGTACAAATTTTACTTACTACTTTAATTGACAAATTTTGCTCTTGCAATGTTGAAAATATTATTTTTAGATGAATTTTTGTAGTGGATGAATTTTTTAATTCAGCCATTACAAAAGATGACATTAAGATGTTTAAATGGCTTGATGGTTGCCGTTTGCCAATCCTTTGGAATAGCTTACGGGTACCTATAGCGATTAATGTTACGAGAGAAGCATTAAGAAATGTAACACGAAACATTAAACATTGAAAACACAAAACAGTATTTTAGTACTTACTTGTGCATGAAACTGTCTTTTACTCACTTTTAAGTCTTTTAGTACCTACTTATGGGAAAAAGCTGTAAGTATGTCGCCCATTATTCGACCTATCCCACCTCTGTTGCCAAAGTTTATTGCAAAGTTTATTTTTTGCCGAAAGGAACATTAAGAAACATTGAACATTGAAAGCATGAAGCAGATTTCTTTATTTCGTTAAAACTCCTCAGAACTTTAAAACCTTTTATTTACGCCAACTTATTATTTATTTTGTTGCTTTTTTTGAGTTAAAGTTAATAATAAGAAAGGTAAATGTATCAAGTAATACAATTCAAGGCGTTATCTCTATATTTAAATTTTCTGAAATAGAATTCCCCCTTAAGATGATTTAGCTATTCGCGAGTGTTATTACTTTATAATTTAATGATTTCGTCAGAAAAGTATGAATCATTTTAAAAATCTCATATACTTCATGAATTTTCTTTCATTCTTGAATCCCCTCATGATACTATAGTAGTATGGGGTGTTTTTTTCCTGTCATTAACTGCAAATTGTTGCCTATTTTACAGTACTTAATTTTTATCAAGCAAATTATGCGGGGAAAAATTACAGATTAACGTTGAAAAATCGGCATAGTAGCACTCTATTCATTCATGAATAGAGTGCTACTATGCCGATTCTTCAGCATTTTTTTTCTGCTTTTAAAACCGTTTGTTCTATATGATTGAATGGTTAAGATGTTAGTGCTCTTACTGCTTAAGCATGCCTTCTGGTTTTAATTCTTAATAATAAATTCTTAATAATAATGAGTACTCATTCATTATGCTTCTTTTATTTCTTTTTATTTCTTCTTTTCTTATTTCCTAATTAAGTGTGTGTTAAGCTTATCGTTACCGATAAAACTGAAATTCTAGAAGATAGTATTTTCTTCAATTTGAAATTTTTTTTTTCATGGAGCATTTCCTGAGAAACGTTTCAGTTGAACTGCCGATTTGCTTTTTTGTATCTTCACTGTAACAAATAGCAGCAGGTCCGATTGGAACCGCATCCACTTATTTTGTATTTTGATAACATGGGCAAAATACTTCTTTGGTGGAGAATCGGTGTATTTAATGATAGGAATTACGATTAATCGATACATCTGTGTAATTTACCCAAAGTATTATCGTTTGATATACAGAAAGAAATGTTTAGCTTTCCAGTTAGCCTTAACGTGGATGTATTCTTTTATCATGTCAATTTTACCATACTTTGGAATTGTAGGAAAATATAGTTACGATCCTAACAGCGGACTCTGTATCCTTTGGAGACAAAATGCAAAAACAATTACAAATATATATATTCTAACGTTCTAAAATTCAGATATATATTTATTTAATTTTTAAAAAAATCATAAAAAATAGGAAATAGAAAATGAAATAAATTAAATATTTTTAAAGAAACTAAAGTACGATTTATAAACATAATTTATAAGAAGGTTCTAATTTATAAGTATAATATGAATTTATACTAAATTATAAATATATTTATTCTTATAAAACATTTAAATCACATGTAAGCATGCTAAAATCTGACCATTAATTCAAAAGTTATTAGTTTTCCTGATTTCTATATATCTTGCGGTCTGTACACAAAAATTTTTAATGTTTGAAATTTAATTTGTTCAAGCGGGAATAAATAATTGAAAAAAATTATTCCTTTTTCAATCAAAAACATTTTTAATTACTTGATAAGGAAACTAGCCAAATCAAGTGCATTCTTCAAAATCCAATTAACAGCAACTGAGAAAATCTGCAGCGTGTATTTAAGAACAAAAATATGTATTTAATAACTTGTTTCGTTTTTAAATTTTTATTAGCATTTTTTTGTCAAATGATTCCTGGAATATTTTTGAATTCACGGTAAACAAAACTCTTCATCACTTACAAAGCTTTTGTATGAGTCTCTGCACAAAGAACTAAAAACTCCCCGAAAAATGGAATTATACTTTAAGAAAACGTTCTAAAATTTTGATGGATCATTATCATTTTAACTAATAATAAAAATTTGCATTTTTTGAAAATTATTACTTTTTGTTGATGAGCGATTTCTTCTTTTGGCTCATAAACTTGAATTTCGGAAGATAGTTCAATTAAAAAAAATTCGCATGAAGCATTTCTCAATGAAACTATTCCATTGAAACCGACAAAATTTCGAAAATTGAAAGTTGAAAATTGATATTTTGCAAAGAATAACTAATCAACCACAATAATGTGTCATAATATTTAAATTGTGTGTTGAGAATATGGATACAGTTTATGTAGATAAAATTCTTAATTTTCTCGATTTTTCTCCAATAGGATTCTTATACAAATTTTATATAAATTTTAGGTTTATTCAGAAGGAAATGAACACTTCACTTCCAGAAATCTTTTTCCCTTTCCGAAACAATTCATTGGATAATGATACTTTGGACATGAACCAAGAACAAGATAGATCTGATAAGCAGGAAGAATCCGTAATTGCTCAAGTAGTCTTTCTCATAATTTCGTCTCTCGGAATATTTGGTAATTCAGTATCGATTCTTGCCTTGAAAAAATCGAAGAAGCTTCGAGGACCAACCGATGCATTTGTTACAACTTTATGCGTTGCCGATTTGCTTTTTTGCATCATCACAATAATAAATTACAGCAGGCCTGATTGGAACCGCAACCACACTTTTTGCCTTTTGATAACATGGGCAAAATTTTTAGTCGCTGGAGAATCGTTGTACTTAATGATTGGAATTACGATTAATCGATATATCTGTATAATTTACCCAAAGTATTATCGTTTGATATACAGAAAGAAATATTTAGTATTGCAGTTAACTTTAACGTGGATGTATACTTTTATTCATTCACTTTTACCATTCTTTGGAGTTGTAGGAAAATATGGTTACGAACCTAACAGCGGACTCTGTATCCTTTTGAGACATTATGGAATAACAGTTCCAACTTTCTTTTTCATACACTACTTTGCATTTCCAGCCACGGTTTTTGTAATTTGCTATTCGAGAATTTTTTGGGTCACTCATAAGGCATCTCAACACGTGAGAAAGCAGTGCAATTTGTCTGTTAAGCGAAAAGAATTAGATCCTACAGCAACGTCACTAGAGATTCAAAGAGGTGATTTTCCGGATCGCGTTGACGATAAGGAAATGAAAATCCTGAAAGTGATGCTAGTCGTTATTGCTGCTTTCCTGATTTGTTACTTTCCAATGACTATTATTCATTTTTTTGACAGTGATGCAAAAATTCCTACTCTTACTGCGCTATCCCACTTGGGACTCAACTTATCAAATGTGATCAATCCCATAATATACGTCGCTATGTGTGCTGAATTCCGAAAGGCATGTTTTGAACTTTTCACTTGCAAACAAGTCAGGCTGCCATTGTCAACTTCTTCAAATAATACAGCAACTTCATAAATGCTAAATGTTTAATAATGCTCTATGAATTTTTTATTTAGGCAAATTTGTATAAACATTATTGTTACAAGTGTCAAAAGTGTATTATTAGTGTACAATGCCCAAACTAATTTTTGTAACCCTTAAATATGGAAATGCTAGAAAGGGATATTGAAAATAAAGATATTTAAACAAATCCTGTTGATAATAAGAATAATTCAGATATATATTTAATCAAAATTTAAAATAAATAATAAAAAATTGAAAAATAGAAAATTAAATAATTTAGGTATCTTCAAAAAGTTAAAAAACAACTTTGAGTACAATTTTTAAATATCATCTGCGCTAATTTATAAGTTTATTCAAAGTTATTCTCATAAAATATTTAAATCACATCTAAGTATGCTAAAATATGACCATTACCGCCGAATATCGAAAAGTATATTTTAAACTCTTAACTGGCAAACAGGTCTGGTTGCCATAGTCAACTTCGTCAAATGCAGCAACTTCTTGAAATACAGCAATATCAGAGATGTTAAATGTTTGATATTGCTCTGCATTTTCTTTTCATGCAAATTGATATAAACATTGTTGTTGTGAGTGTCACAAATATTATATTAGTATGCAATGCAAAAAATAAATAATGTGACCCTTAAATTTATAAATGCTATAAAGTGAAAGTGAAAAAAAAAGATATTTAGACAAATGCAGTTGATAGTAATAATTCAAATCAGTGGAACCTGTAAAAGTGACCACCTGGGTAAAGTAAACACCTGAGTGAGGTGACCATTTTCTACAAGTTTTATTTAAAAAGTCCTTTTCAAAGAGTCTTCATAAAGTGACCACCTCAATATAGTGACCATTTGACATGGTCCCGAGGGTGGTCAGTTTAGATAGGTTCCACTGATTTTATTGATCATTAAAATATCATAAAAATTTTTTAAAAAAATAGAAAATTAAATACATTAAATATCATTAAAAAGTAAAATTCCGATTTGGAGTATAATTGGCAAATATCATCTGCACTAATTTATTAAGATATTGAAAGTTAGTCTCATAAAATACGTATTATGTCAAATCTAAGTATGCTAAAATATTTTTATTAGATTAAAAGTTATAAGTTTTTCTAATATTTATCTTGCGCTCTGTACACTAAAAATCTTTAGTTTAAAATTTATTTTACTGAAATGGGAATAAGTAATTGAAAATAAATTATTGCTTCTTCAATCGAAACCATTTTTAACTACTTGATAAGCAAACTAGCCAAATAGAATGCTTTTTTTGTTATCCAGTAACAGCAACTGATAAACTTTGCAACGTATAATTAAGAGCATTAAGACCTGTGTATTTACTTGTCTCTTTTGGAAATTTTCTATAAAATGCTTTTGTTGTATGATTCCTCGAATATTTCTGAATAAACAGTAACTAAAACTCTTCATCACTTACAGAGTCTTTGAATGAATAACTGTTTGAAGAACTAAAAACTAGCAGAGAAATAAAACTACATTCTAAGAAAGTGTTTAAAAATTTTGAAGGATCATTATCATTTTAAATAAAATATAAATATATATTATTTCTTGTAAATCTTTATTATTATTACTAAACTCAGTGGCACGACAGTCCATCGAGGGTCAAGGCTTATTGTGCCCATCTCAGTATTCTTGACCTTGGGCTCGGGGGTGGTGGAGTAGATGTTCCGGTTAGGTGGTCAACCGAACGCGAAACGCCCAGTGTTTAGTCCCCAAGCATGCTTGGTACTCATTTATCGACCCACTGAAGGGATGAATGGCTAAGTCAACCTTGCCCGGCCCGAGGATCAAACCCAGGACCTGTGGCACGGGAGAGCGAAGCACTACCACTCAGCCACCGGGCGTCCCTTATTAATATTATTATTATTTTGATGAGTTCTAAACGAATTTTGAAATGCGCAAAAAGAAAAAACAAAGATTTAGGTTATAAGGATTTTTATATTAGGTAGAACATTTCTCAAGTATAAGGATCATATCTTACAAATTGAGTCTAATCCTTTCCCCCATATCTCAGAGATATATCGAAAAACTTCTCTATATTCATTCTGAAACGTTTTTTTCCCCTTTTTTTGTGGCTGATTTCATCACCTTAATTATCATCTGCAATAATTATTTAGCATATGTTTTGTGGGATATTCCAAACCATGAAGGTTGAATCATAATACATTAAATATTATGTCAAAACCAATATGTGTAATATTTACGGAAATCAATGATTTTTATGACGAATGTAACGTTTTTATTTAGTGTTTTGTGCAAACTTTACTAAACTAATATAATATATAGATTTCACTAACTTAATGCTACGTTCAAATTGTACTAGTCTAGTCTAATTGACAAATTGTACTTTTAAAACGTAAATAATATTAAAAAATTTATTTTTCGAAGCGTTTTTGTAATGGCTGATTATTTGAATTTTGCCATTACAAAAGAAGACATTAGGATTTTTAAATGGCCTGATGGTTGCCGTTTACCTATCCCTTGGAATAACTTACGGGTACCTATAGCAATTAATGTTACGAAAGCAACATTAGGGAATGTAACAAGAAACATTGAACATTGAAAACATGAAAATCGAAATGAAACAGATATCTTTATTTTATTAAAACTCCTCAGAACTTGAAAACCTTTATTTACACCAGCTTGTTATTTATTTTGTTGCTTTTTTCGGGTTAAAGTTAATAATAAGAATGGAAAATGTATCAAGTAATACAATTTCAAACTCTATCTCTATATTTACACTTTCTGAAATAGAATTCGCACTTAAGATGATTTAGCTATACACGAGCGTTATTACATTATTATTGAGAATGATTTCGTCAGAAAAGTATGTATCATTTAAAAAAACTCAAAATTTTATATATTTCATGAATTTTCTTTCATTCTTGCATCCCCTTATGATACTGTAGTAGTATATTATTTTTTCTTCCTGCCATGCAAATATAACTGTAAAATGTTGCCTATATTACAGTCTTTAATTTTTTCAAGCAAATTATGCGGGGAAAATTACAGATTAACATTAAAAATCGACATTGTAGCTCTCTATTCACTCATTATAACACAATGCCGATTCTCTAATATTTTATTCTGTTTTTAAAACCGTTTGCTCTACATGTAGGGATGATACAGGTGTTTGTGCTCTTACTTCTTAAACATGTTTTCTGGTTTTACATCTTAATAATAAATGAGTACTCATTTATTATACTTCTTTTATTTCTTTTTTTTTCCTTTCTTTTTTCCTAATTAAGGGTGTGTTACGTTAAGCTTATTGTTACCGGTTAAACTGAAATTATAGAAGATAGTATTTTCTTCAATTAGAAAAATTTTTTTTTTCATTGAGCATTTCCCAAGAAACAATTCCGTTGAAAACAAAAAATATTTCGCAAAAATTAAAATTTGATATTTTGCAATGAATAACTAACCAATCAACCACAATATTGTGTTATCATATTTAAATTGTTTGTTAAGAATGTGGACTCAGTGTATGTAGTTAAAATGATTTAATATTCCGATTTTTCTCCAAAAAGTTTATTAAATAAAATTTATGTAAATTTTAGGTTTATTCAAAAGAAAATGAATACCTCATTTCAAGACATCTTTTTTCCCAACCGAAACAATTCATTGGATAATGATACTTTGGATATGAACCAAGAGCAAGATCGGTCTGATATGCAGAAAAAATTCAAAATTGCTCAAGTTGTTTTTCTCATAATTTCGTCTATCGGAATATTTGGGAATTCAGTATCGATTCTCGCCTTGAGGAAATCGAAGAAGCTTCGAAGCCCAACCACTGCATTTGTTATAACTTTATGCACTGCCGATTTGCTTTTTTGTATCCTCACTCTAACAAATTACAGCAGGCCCGATTGGAACTGCAATCACGTTTTTTGCATTTTGATAACATGGGCAAAATACTTCGTTGGTGGAGAATCGGTGTATTTAATGATTGGAATCACGATTAATCGATATATCTGTGTAATTCACCCAAATTATTATCGTTTGATATACAGAAGGAAATGTCTAGCATTCCAGATAGCTTTAACCTGGATGTATTCCTTTATGATATCTCTTTTACCATTCTTTGAAATTTGGGGAAAATATGGTTACGATCCTAACAGCGGACTCTGTATCATTTTGAGACAAAACGGAAAGTCAGCTAGAACTTTCTTTTTTATATCCTATTACGCACTTCCAGCCACGGTTTTTGCAGTTTGCTATTCTAGAATTTTTTGGGTCACTTATAAAACATCTCGACAAGTGAGAAAGCAGTGCAATTTTTTTGTTACGCCTGAAGAATTAAATGCTACAGCAACTTCACCAGAATGTAGAATTCAAAGAGGTGACATTCCGGATCGTGTTAATGACAAAGAGATGAAAATCCTGAAAGTGATGCTAGTCATCTTTGTTGCCTTCCTGATTTGTTACTTTCCAATGGCGCTCATTAAATTTTTTGACAGTAAGGCGAAAATTCCTGCACTTACCGCGCTGTCCTACTTGGGAATCAATTTATCAAATGTGATCAATCCCATGATATATGTTGCTATGAGTGCTGAATACCGAAAAGCATATATTGAACTTTTCACTTGCAAACAACTCTGGCTGCCATTGTCTACTTCTTCGAATGCAGCAACTTCCTCAAATACAGCAACTATAGAGATGCTAAGTGTTTGATATTGCTCTACTATTTTCTTATTTAAGCAAATTTATATAACATTATTGTTGTTATAAGTGTCATAAATGTAATATTAAAGTGCAATGTAAAAAATAAATACTATGCCCCTTAAATTTAGAAATGCTAGAAAGAGATAATGAAAATAAAGACATTTAAACAAATACAGTTGATAATAATAACTCAGATATATATTTAATTAAAATTTAAGAAAATTATAGAAAAATTAAGAAATAGAGAATTAAATAATTTAAATATCTTTAACAAGTTAAAGTACGATTTTGTGAAAAATTTCTTAATATCATCTGCACTAATTTATAAAGTTAGTCACATAATATATTTAAATCACATCTAAGTATGCTAAAATCTGGTCATTAGTTCGAAAGTTATTAGTTTTCCTAATTTCTATCTCACGCTCTGTGCACCAAACGTGCTAAAGTTTTAAATTTAAGTTATTCAAATGAGAAGAAATAATTGAAAATAAGTAATGCCTTCTTCAATCAAAACCCTTTTTGACTACTTGATAAACAAACTAGCCAAATAAAATGTTCTTCTTAATATCCAGTTAATAGCAAGTGAAAAAATCATGAAATGCAAGTGTAATTAAGAACAAAATTGTTTATTTAATAACTTTTGTCTTCTGGAAATTTTTAATAGCATTTTTGCCATATGAGTCTTCGAATTTTGTCTGAATTTACGGTAACCAAAACTCTTCATCACTTACAGGGCTTTTGGATAAATTTCTGCTCAAAAAAATAAAAACTCACGCAAAAATAAAATTATATTCTAAGAAAACGTTCTAAAATTTTTAAGGATTGTCATTTTAAATAAAATTAAAAAAAATTAGTATTTCTTGAAAATCATTATTATTATTATTATTATTTTGATGATGAGCAATTTCTACAAGTTCATTTAGATTTTTCTGCTGCTCAGAAGGTCTAAACGAATGCACAAAAAGAAAAAAAAAGATTTAGATTATAAGGACTTTTATATTAGGTTTAACATGCCTAAAGTATAAGGATCATATCTTACAGATCGAGTCTAATCCCTTATCCCATGTCTCGGAGTAACTACTTTATATTTATTTTCAAACCTTTTTATGTGTATGTCTGATTTTATCACTTTAATTATAATCTGTAAAAAATTTTTAATTGCAATTTTATTATTTATGAGGGATACTCCAAACCATGAAAGTTGAATCATAGTACAAGAAAAATTATTTTATTATGTCAAAACCTATATGTGTAATGTTTACGGGTAATTATGTGTAATATTTTATATTATTAATTTAATTTTTTATACTATTTATGTGGAATGCAACGTTTCTATTTAGTGTTCTGTACAAATTTTACTAAACTATTATAATATAAGGATTTCACTAACTTAAAGTTATGTACAAGTTTTACTACTCTAGTGTAAGTGACAATTTTTACTATTGTAACATAAGTAATGTTAAAAATATTATTTTTCTATGCGTTTTTGTAGTGCAGTGTTTCCCAAACTCATGTCTTTTGTGTACCCTTTCTAAATTTTTCGTAGCGCTGTGTACCACTAATTAAAAAAATGAATGTATATTTTACTATAAAAAAATTGCACAAAAGTTTAAAACCTCAATTGGTTGTTGACACCATTAATTATTAACTGTTAACTCTACAAATAATAGCCAATAGAGAAATACGTGTGAAATACAACTTTGCTTCTAAATAAAAATTTTTGAAATTTTTGCTTGTCGTAAGATATTTCGTATAGGAACGCGCACCCCAGCTAAGCCGTTCCTGTACCCCTGCGGGTACGTTGTAGTGGATAGATATTATAATTCTGTTGTAGTGGATACTGTTGTAGTGGATAGATATTATAATTCAGCCATTACAAAAGGAGACCTTAAGATTGGTATATGTCCTGCCGGTTGTCTTTTACAAATCCTTTGGAATCGCTTACGGACATCTATTACATTTAATGTTACAAAAGCAAAAACATGAATTGCACCAACTGCAACTTACGTAATCCTCAATATATGAAGACACCGATTTGTATCTGGTTTCGTTCTGTTTTTTAAATCCCTGTTTTCAGTTTGTAAGTATTCTGATGGTGGTTTATCAAACTTCGTCATATTCTCACTTATTTAAAAAGAATATCACGTGGTATAATTGTAAAAATCATGATTTAAGGTTTTTTGGTTTGCTTCTTTAACGAGTAAATATATTTCTCAATCATTTCTCACTATGTCACGCTTTCCATATCGCTAAGTTCAAATTTTCAAGTCCAGTTGATTAGTTTTCAAATCCTTGAAATCTTTTACTTTTTTATGATTAGCATTCTGTAAACAAAATGTTCTTGCATAAAATTATCATTATCGTAATTAGATATTTTATTAACCACTATCACTTTTGCGATAAAAACGAACGGGGGCTGATGAGCTATATGTTCCAATTTTTTTCTTCAATTCGCAATTGTTTTCAATTTCTCCAGTTTCAATTCAAATTCTTTTAGAACTCCGTAAGTTAATTTCTATTTTTAATTTGTATAATTAATGTATGTAGTTACTGTATATAATTAATGTATGCGATTAATCTATATGGTAAATTTATAGACTACTAATTATTTCTCCCTTCAAAATGAGAGAATTATCTAAAATTCAACAATGAAAAGATTTTAAATCCCAACCTATTAATGATATCTTTTCTCACTTTCATCTTGGATACATTTTATTGGGTTCACAGTTTTTGATTAAGTAAAGTGCTAAACTCAAACATTTTTAAAAAATGTCATATTATCATAAAAAAAAAATCAGCTTCTGAATTTTTAACGATGACATTTCTTTTTAAAACTGTATATATTTTGTATTAATTTATAAATTTAAAAAAATATATATTTCTTTAAGCATTTGCATTTTAAAGGAGTATAATAGAAATTTTTATTCAAAAATAATAATTACGCATTTTTTTGGAAAAAAAAAACATTCTTAATAATTTTTCTTCAACATCAAAATGTAAACGCAATTTGCTTTCATAAATACTATTTGTTTCGTATAAACACAAGTTTTTCATTTTTATAGACACATTTTTATCCATATTTACGTACATAGTTGAAATGATGTTACACACGACATATTTTTCAAGTGAATGTTTTTGGTCATAAAAAGCATAATTGCCTCTTTGAAATTTTTTATTTCAATACAAACAAAATTTATTCATTTTTCGGTAACAAAAATTCAATGGTAGAATATCGATAAGAGATAAAAAAGTTAAGCTAGGAATAAGTAGTTTCATCTCTGAAACTAAAATGAAAGCAAAGAACGAAAATTGAACTAACTTTTAGATCACAATAATTTAATTACTAATACTAATTATTTTAACAAATGTTTATCAATATTACGCTCACATTTGAAGTGATGCTATATGACATACTTTTTGAGTGAACTTTTTGTCATAAAAAGCATAATTCTTTCTTTTAAATTTATTTTTTTTCCAATAACAATGAAATAATTTGATTTTTTGGTAAAAAGAAACTCCAATCGTCGAATTTTCAACAATGAAAAAACCCCATCAAAACTAGGAATAAGCAGTTGTATCTGTAATGTTAAAATGAAAATGAAGGGCGAAAATTTTAATTTTCACATGCAAAACAATCTAAATAATGTAGTTACGTTCACAAATTGAATTTACTTGTTTAAAATGGTTGCAATTTCAGTTTCGGCTATCTAGTTACAATTATTAATTTCAGGATATCTTACCAATAAAATTTCTGATGCAAAGTTTATATAAATTTTAGGTTATTCTAAGGAAAATGAATGCTACACACGAAGACAACTTCTTGTTTTCTTTCGAAAAAAATAGTTCATTGGCAAATGATACTTCGAATGTGAATGGAGAGCAAGATATATTTGATATCGAGAAAAAGAAGAGAATTTCTCAAGTAGTTTTCCTTCTGATTTCTTCTATCGGAATTTTCGGAAATTTTGTATCGATTCTTGCTTTGACGAAATCAAAGAAACTTCGAAATCCTACAACAACATTTGTCACTACTCTTTGCGTGGCTGATTTGCTGTTTTGTTTGTGTACTTTTATAAATTATATAAACATCGAGTGGAACCAGAACTATTATTTTTGCATTTTGATAACTTGGGCAAAATTTTTCGTTGGTGGAGAATCAGTATATTTAATCGTAGGTATTACCATCAATCGGTATATATGTGTAGTTCATCCAAATTATTATCATTTGATATACCAAACGAAGTATCTAGTTCTTCAGATAACTCTCGCTTGGCTTTATTCTTTTCTGATATCCCTCTTGCCGTTCTTTGAAATCTGGGGAAAATATGGATATGATCCTAACAGTGGACTTTGCATAATTTTGAGACAGAAAGGAACATCAGCGAAAGTTTTCTTTTTTATATCTTACTTCGCGTTTCCAGTAATTGTCCTTATCATCTGCTATCCGAGAATTTTGTGGGTCAGTCTCGAGGCCTCTGAACGAGTGAGAAAATCTAGTCTTTTTGTAACTGCATCAGGATTAAATGCAACAGCAACCTGTAACGGTATTCAGAGTGACTACAATTCTGAAAGTCTTATGAATGATAAAGATATGAAACTTTTGAAAGTGATGTTGGTCATCGTTGTCGCTTTTACGATTTGCTACTTCCCAATGGTGCTAATTAAATTTTTCGACAATAAAGCAAAAATTAGTGCGCTCACTGCAATATCATACTTGGCGATCAACGTATCGAATGTGATTAATCCTATAATATACTTCTCGATGAGCAATGAATATCGAAAAGCATATTTGGAGCTATTCAAGTGCAAAGATATTCGACTTCAGTTTTCGGTCTCTACAAACTCAGAGATGATCAGTGTTTGATGTTATTCTTATATTCATTTCATCTATCGAAAAGCATACTTGGAGCTATTCAGGTGCAAAGATATTCGACTTCAGTTTTCGGTCTCTACAAACTCAGAGATGATCAGTGTTTGATGTTATTCTGATATTCATTTCATCTACACTATAAGTTCTCAAAATTATATCTTCCTTAGAGGGTGCTGAAGAATTCATAGACAATAGGCAAAATTTTCTAAATAGAAATTGAATTCTCATTCAAGAAAAGACGCTCTGTGAATAAAAATCAACAAGAGTTTTAATTCTTCATAATTGTTATTATTAATAGAGATCTGAGGAAGATTAAAAACAAATTAGGGTATAATATGTTATTTAATTTATTTTTTTAAGGAAAGTGATTAATTTAGTTGAATGCTGTATAAAATTCTTTGACAACAAAGCAAACATTAGCGTGCTCACTACAATATCATAGTTGGAGATCAACGTATCGAATGTGATTAATCCTATAATGTACTTCTCGGTGAGTACTGAATATAGGAAAAAGCATATTTGGATCTGCTTACCTGCTAAGATTTTCTGCTTCAGTTCTCTGTTTCTACAAACTCAGAGATGATCAGTATCTGATGTTTTTCTGCAATTTATTTCATCTACCCCATAGATCCCAAATTTTGGTCTAGTCTCTATTGAATAGGCTAATTCATAGGCAATAGGATAAATTTTTTTATTGAAATTCTAATAATAGTAGAAGTCTCGTTGAAAAATTTCATTTTGTAAATAAAAAGTCATAATTAAGACATCAGAAATGATCAATGCATGATGTTTTTAAGCTATTTTTTTACATTCATCATAAGTTCTCAAAATTAAGTCTTTTTTCTACTAAATGCTAAAAAATTCCTAGACAATAGGAAAAAGTTTCTAATTAGAATTCTAATATTAATTGAAATTTCATTAAGAAATTATATTTTGCAAATGAAAATCAATCAAAAGTTTTAATTATGAAACAATAATTATGAAAAGAGACTCCTAATTATTGTTATTATTACTAGAGCACTCAAGAATATTAAAACAAATTAATATACATACATTATTTAATTAAATTTTTAAGGAAAATGATTAATTCAGTTAGATTCTGTTCAATGTTAACTCTTTCAAACTTTTAATACTAATTAGCTAGATTAGATTTTGAAATATAACTGTCTCAGTTCAGTACAGCGACAAGAAAGTTAAGATGACAGAATGTTGGCTTTCATAAACGGCATTATTTTTTCTGGCATACAGAATTTATACGGTGAAAAAAAGTCTTGTAAAATTACTGTATTGCTAATGACGTTTCTGGTTAAAAAATATATAATTCTGTATAGTAAATTGTAAACCGTATTCAAACCATTCATTTGGTCATTGTTTCATTCAAATGGTAATGGTTGACCGGAAATTCTGGTTTTAAAAAATATAGTTCTAGTAACCACACATTTAGAAAAAAAATGAAACTGAAAAGTGAAAATTTAAACTAAATAAACTGTTTTGATGCCATGCCGTTAGGTATCATGATAAAATTACTGCATTTACCAAGTTTTATCACATATTGTAAAACCATATTTTATTACGATTTTACCAAAATTATTACCAGAGCTCATGGATAAAAATTGTCGGTGTTCCCATAGAGCCAGAAACACGGTAAATTTTTACAATAATCTGGTAGTTTGAAATTTCTTTCTCAGTGAAAAAGACATTTATAAATTTACTTATGGCCCAAATTCTATTAGCACTGGAACAAAAACTATAGTTCTTAAGAAAGAGATTGCATTTTTCAAAAAGAATATTGGGATTTTTAAAAGGAAAAATTATGCTCAATTTTTAAAATAATTATAGCTTCTTAAGAGAATGCATAATTAAATTAACAATAGCGTAACTGCGCACTTTTTAATGTATCATATGCTTGTAGAAATTTATGTCCAATTAGATGGAAAGGAAATACACCAAAAAAATTAAATACGTAGTAATAAAAATGTATATTCATCATTTTTTATAACTGTTTCTTAGCATTTTTCTTTCCTTCTTTTTGCACTGAGCTTTCTAAGCTTTACTTAAAAAAAGTCTAGGAACGGTTTGCAGAAAGAGCAATTTAAAATGGTTTATTGACTTTTCCCTATTTATAGTTAATATGAATTGAATAGTTGAACAACATAAATTGACAAAGTTATGTGCATGCAGAGGATTTTTATTTTCCTGTCCAAACTTTTTCAGAGAATCAATATGTTTTTGAGCAATGTGTCCTCTGATCAAGTAATGCATTTCGAAACTAAATTAAGTTTGATGTCCACAGTACTTCTTTATTATTTGTTCATTGACGATAATATGCTGCAATCTCACCCATACGTTTAGCATTACTTTATTTACTTATGCTATTAGAATTGGCAACGAACCTTTACAATCACTTAATATTATATAAAATAAATATTTTTGCTAAATTTAAAACAGAATAACCGTTTTGCTAAGAGGGTCAGAAAAATACTTGAATTATAGTGGAGAAAAAGCATGTCGAAACATATAATGTTATCAGTACTGTTATAATTGTTGCTAATTTAATGTATTAGCATTATGTAAACATTTTTTTTAATTTCCAATGAGCTGCACAATCGGTCTTGCCGATGAGCAGACCTAGTGCGTTCTCCAGAGGTGGTATCCACTCTTTCAGAACCACCACAATGGGTGAGATACCGTTGGTCATGTTAATTTGGACGTCTGGTTTCTGCCACACTAGATGGCAGCACCGAGACTCTATTTGGATGCTAAAGTGCACTTGGAATTTAATTTTGCCGGAAATGCCAAGAGCCAATAAGGCACTCCAGGGATCTTTTACATGCCGCATAATCATACGACATGGCCTCTGAGGATTTTCTGCATCCCGAAAATCCGGTGTCTGGGCCGGGGATGTATTATGTAAATATTACTTATATAATAATGTATCAATCTAAACATATATGAATATTAATGTAACATTGATGATGCATGTTATTATTTAAACTCCTTGTAAACAATATTGCGTCTGAAAGCTACATCTGGCTGGCACTAACCAAGTGCTCGAAATCGCTTTGCGATTCTATTAACAATCAATGCAGCCAGAAAATATTGTGTTGTATCAACTTTATATATGAATAAAAATCTAAACAACTCGCAAATTTTTTTATTTTTCTTAGTTTCATGGAAATATTGGTTTAATTTATGGAAATATTTATAATTAATTGGGCGGATATTCAAGGATTTGAGAATATGTTTTGATGCAGTGTAACGGAAGGAGTATTTCAGTAATTATATTCATTTCATAAACTTACTAAAGGTGAGAACTGTCCTCTTGCCGTTAGGCTAAACCTGAGATGCTTATGTGGTTTCCTCTCTATGTACCGCAAATACGGGTAAGTTCCATTGAAAAAGTCCTCTATGAAAGTTAATAAGTCCTAATGCTTGATCTCTAAGTTCCCTTATTTTCTAGGTTAGGTTCAAAGTCACATGTTTACGAAGTTGAATATTAATAAGTCGTAAACTCAGAATTAGGTCGGCGGTTCAACACCGGTTATAAAATAAGAAAAAGACTAGAATTGCATTGGGGAGGGGTGCAGAGTGCTGGTCTCTTTTGACAATAGTATTTCAAGGTAAAGATCATAATCTTAATAGAACGTACTGCACTAAATGGAACAAAAAAAATTATGGGTGAGGAAGTTATATCAATAAGTCTCCTCTAGAAATTTTATCTTAGCAATATATGGAACAAACCAGACTGCAGAAGGCATTAAAAGTAACAGGATTAAGACCAAAATTGCTAGAAAAGTTTATTAAAAACAAGTTCTTTACCAAAAAAAAAGAGAAAAGAATTTTAAATGTGAATAGTAAATCTCTAAAAATATCCTTTTTGGTGTATTATTGTTGTCACTAATGCTATATGCCAATACCAGCAAACCTGCTTGAAATCAAGCAAATTTCAAAGGTAGAGAGCACGCTTTCAGTGGCGCTATCTATGGCCAAGAATAACACTTCAGTCATAGATACGGCCACACATGAAACTTCAACAGCACGTGCCACAGCCCGCTTTACAGGGAGGATTCAATCATAATCCATTCATTCATCCACGGATCGTAATTTTGATCTGAACCGCAGAATGATCAATCTCCAAGTTAGCACCTTCAGAGGTATTGATTTGTTATTAGAACTTGCCGAACTTCGTAACTCAGAGGATTTGACGCACACCAGTCATCATTTAAATTATGGGGATTCCTCGGCCAGCGGGATTTCAACTCTCGTTCTCACAAACACAGGCCCGACATTCTCCCAACCAGGCCATTCCAGCCATATCCTAAATGTCTATAGGCATTATGCAAAAAATGCCGTTGCAGAGAAAAGTAATAAAAAGGCAAAAGAAAATGAAAGGTATGGTAGAGAAAGGAAAATCCAAAAATGCCAATAAAAAATAATTGAAGAGAAAAAAAAAGAACTTATTAAACACTGAAAATGACAATGTCATCAAATTTCAGATCATACAGATGGTGGTCCGTAAGTTACTCTTTAGCAAAAGTTGCGGTAAGTCTGAAAAGCAAGGAAATTACGTGAATCATTGTATTTTGTTCTTATAGTCACATTTTTAATCTAGTCGAAGCAACAAAAAAAAATATTCGGATTGATTTCGTTATCTAATCATTCGAATTTCTCTAACTAAATTAAAATGTACATAGTTTATGGAGTCTAGTTCATCTAAGAGTATGCAATCTAATTAAACTTAATTTTCCGGAATTAAACAAAATTTTAGTTCCAAAATTAGACATAATATAAAATTTTTCTGTAAATTAACATAATACAAGTTTGACAACATCCCGGCATATTTTATGTGTACTACATATTTTTTTTCAAATGTAAAACTTATCGCAAATATTTGACGAGAAATGTTGTAATAAATTTTTTTTTTAAATATTATTTATAGGGAACTATGTAATAGCTTCAATCTACACTGCTCAAAACACTTAAAGGATATTGAGGTTGTAGATTGATCTTGCTCCTAGAGAATTGTTCGAATTAATAATACATTATCTACAGACGTAGTAGACTATATGAAATAAAAATCGCATTCGCTTTGAAGAAATAAAATGCGTTTTTATTGAGTATTTGGGTACAAAAGAAGAAGAAAAAAACACAATTTGTGCATTTGAGGAAAACAAATAAAATAAGGTGCTTCCTTTAAAGAAAATCACTTTTAGCAGGGGGTATAGTTTCCCCAGACGCCAGCAATGTTGAACACCTTTAAGGCATCGAGTCAATGAAGTTATTAATGAGGGACTGGGGTATTCATTCTGTCCCACTCCTCCAAAAGAGCTCTTTTCAGTTCTTGGAGAGTGTGTGGGAGTTAATTTATTTTCGATTGCCTAGTATTTATTCTAGTTTCGTCATTCTAGTTAACGATCTTACGCAAAGCACTACGAAGAGGTATCGAATTCAAGGGGAACCATTTCGAGAGGAAACATTTTCGTCATACATTTGAGAGTTTACGCTTCGTCCGAATCACGTGATTTCGTGACGAAATGATTCTCAAATTTAACAAAAACTGCTCAAGGACTGCTGAATCTTCAAAAGGGAAACTTTTGTTTACGAAAGTGAGTGAATGTTTCGAGAGTTTTCTGCATAAACTTCTGAATTATTTCGTGAGAGTTACGGATAGAGTTGCATCATAAATTTAGCAACTACGTTAGCAAATAATTAAAGAAACTTTTCAATTTTAAATTGTAAAAAAATTAGTCCTATAGTTTCTTTTAATCAATTAAATTTATGTATGAAACCACATAAAGAAAAAGACCTCAAATTTAATTTTAGAAAGCTACCATTATGGGTATTAGAAATATTTTTTGCTTGAATTTATACTATGCCAGAAATCTACAAAATTTCTTCTCAAAACACTATCAGGAACCAGATCTCAGAACATATGCATTTATAATTTAAACATTAAAAATAAATAACTTAAGAATAAGTTAAATTTACTGAAATATTGGCAAAGGTTTTTCAGACGCTTTGACTACCAGGCTCATAGGCACTTGTATTACACCACTTACTACACTATAAAAAATTCCAAATCAAATTACGGTAAAAAATACTGGCACTTTTACTATAAAACCTTTTTTTACCGGAACATGTTACGGAACAAAAAATCTGATATACCGAAATTCTTACAGTAATAATTAGCATAAAGTCACTAAATCACGCTTATTAAATATATATCACTGTAAAAATTACGGTATATTATATTTTAGCATAAAATGGATGAAACCCGAAATGTAGGTGCGGAAAAATGGATTTTACGGATGACAATTCAAAGTATCTGTGCTTTACACCGTAATTTGATCCGGAATTTTTTAGTGTGTACACTATTAAATATATTTTTTTCACAAGTTACTGTGCAATACTTTTCACAGTTTTCTGAAAATCTATAATTAACTGGGTTTGATAATTTTTTGCAAAATCATCTCATTATTTTTTTATAATAAGGTGTTATGTTAGGACAGCATTACTATACAGTTTTGGAATTCGTATCAAGTCAAACCTCAAAACAGTTTCATACCTGCCAACTTTTACTCATTTGGCGTAAAATTTTATTTCTATATTTAAAGTGGTAGTAAAATGTATGCTTTCTATATATTCCTTGCATTTATAAACTTAATTCATAGTATTTTTAATTCACCACTATTTTTAAAAAAATTAAGCATATACATTAATATGTAATAATGTTCTAGTAATCCGAATAAGCTTGTTCATAATACAGCAAATGTTTCTGCCTAAAATTGTAATTTACATTTCATTTTACTACCACTGGGGAAAATCATCCTTGAAAGGATTAAAAGTTGGCAGGTATGCAGTTTGTTCATTAGAGGTTAAAATTTAATTTTTAGCAGAAAAAGAATTAAAAAAACGTAATTAAAACGTTACAAATTGCTTATGAGGGAGACAGGATTAGACGCATAAAAGCCTGTTTGATTGCCGTAAGAAACTGGACGATGCCAGAAAAATTATCCGAAGCAACTTATCGGCAATTGAACTCAACTTTCCTCATTAATTATTCCACAGATTTCGATATTATATTTTTTTAGCGCTAATTTTATAGTTGCGACTCTCAAATGTGCACACTTTTATTATTTCATTTTTGACAAAAATACTCGAAATACCTGTCAAAAAAAGTAATGGCAAAACAATTTTTTGAAGTTTTTATCTTTGAAGGTTTATTGTGGAGAAAATTTCAAAAATTTAGTTTCCTAAAGTTATCTTAATTTACAATGCAAAAATAATAACGTGCCTAATTTTCCTTAAAATGGATTTAAGTTTGATATGAAAATGTTGATCCTTTCACTAAGAAGAATTTCCTCAAAAAAATCTAATATGACATTTTATATCCTTTTTAGGTTATCGGAAAGAAAATGAATACAACTCAAGACAACATCTACTTTTATATCCAGAATGATTCATTGGCAAATGAGACATTGGACGCAAATCAAAAACAAGGAAAAACTGACATCGAAAAAAAGCTGAGAATATTCATATTACTATTAATCGCAATTTCATGTCTTGGAATAATCGGAAATTCCATAACGATTTTAGCTTTGAGAAAATCAAAAAAACTTCGAAGCCCAACTACTGCATTTATCATCAACTTATGCACTGCAGATATGCTATTTTGCGTGAGTACTCTTACAACTTATACGATGCTAGAGTGGGGTCACAACTATTATTTTTGCATTTGGAGTACATGGGCAAGGTATTTCTTTGGTGGAGAATCAGTGTATGTGATGATTGCAATTACCGTCAATAGGTATATCTGCGTTGTATACCCTAAGTATTATCGTTTAATATACAAACCCAACTACCTAGCTATTCATATAGCTCTGACTTGGCTTTATGCTTTATTGTTAGCTTTTCTACCATTCTTTAAAGTGTGGGGTAAATATGCTTATGACCCGAATAGCGGGATCTGCACCATTATGGTCCATAATGGAAAATCAGCCAAAACTTTCTTTTACATTACAGCCTTCGCTTTTCCAACAACTGCTTTTGCTATCTGTTACCCTAGAATTTTCTGGCGAACTTATAAAGCATCTAAGGAGGCGAAAAAATACAGCGCTACGGTAACTCCAGCAGTTTTAAATGCCACAGTGTCTTCTCCAGAATACAGGGCTGATGATAAGGAAATGAAAATCTTGAGAGTGATGCTAGTGATTGTTGTTGCTTACATGATTTGCTATTTCCCCCTTGCGTCTACTAAATTGTTTAACCTGGAAGGAAAAATACCAGCAATTCATATCGTAGGCTATTTTGGAGTTAACTTTTCGAATGTCATCAATCCCATAATATATGTAGCGATGAGTGCTGAATATAGAAAAGCATATTTGGAACTTTTCCGATGCAAACAGATTTGGCTTCAAATTTCAAACACTTCAAACTCAGAGTTGATCAGCGCATGATCTCAGATCTGTGGAAGGAAAGACAGAACAAAAAATTATCGAAAGCCCTGTCTTTGTTTAATCTAGCTTTTGCGTTTTGAGCAACCAACTTCTTTATTTGCTGCTTATTATTTATTTATTTGCTTTATTTACTCAAATACTTAAGAGCACCTAAACAAGTGAAGAAGTACAATATTTAAGTAAATCCAGTGGTTTTAAAAGCAACTGTGTAAACTGCAGAATATAGAGCTAACGATTTTAGTAATGAAAATTTTAAAAGTGATGTTTGTAATCGTTGATATGCGAATTTTCAAATGTATTTACAAAACTATTTTACATTGAAGCAATTTAGGCTATTTGGGAATCAGTATATCAAATGTGATTATTTCTAATACATATTGCGATTAGCACTCAATATCGTAAAGTATATTCAAAACTTTTTCACTGCATTTAAACTTTTCATCAAGTGTCAAGCCCTTTGAACGCAGAGATCAGAAGCAAATGATATGCTTATGATCATAATTTAGAGCAAAATGAAAAATTCGCATGTATTTTTTTATTTTTGAAATACATCTTTTGATTTCCATTCATTGACTTTTTTACTTTCTAAGAATTTTCTGAATCACTTTCAGATTGTCTAAAAGTGCAAAGTTTCATTAATTCTAACTCTCAGAGCAACAGTGTCTTCTTAGGAATATACGGCCAATGATAAATCAATAAATATCTTAAAAGTGCTGTTGTTGATTGCTGTTTCGCATAATTTACTAAACTAATGACATAGAATCCAAAATATCTCTTATAGGTAATATGAGAATCAAGATGGCAAATGTGATCAATTCCAATATGTGTATCATGATGAATGCAGAATATCCTAAAGCATGCTCAAGATCTTTCCCAATGTAAACAAATTAGGATTCAGTTTTCAACCTCTTCAGAGTAGACTACCGTATGCTCTGCAAATGATCCTGGCGCATTAACGAAATATCAACAAAAATCTTTTTTTTTAATGCAGTTTTTGTATTTCTAGCAATCGGCTTTACTCCTTGGTATCGAAGAACGCTTTGGGTAACTTTCAAAGCATCTAGGCGAGTGAAGAAATACAGATTTTCCGCAATTTAAGTGTTTCTAAATGCAACAAGTATCTCAGCTAGACTGGAGGCCTTATGAAACGGAAATAAATATGTCAAAAATGGTGTTTAGTGGTAGTTGCTGCGTTCACTACATATGCTCTATAACCTAGTTTCATTTACCAAACTCTTTGGCAAAAAAGCAAAAATATTGTCGCTACTTTTAGGAACTACTTGGGAATCAATATTTCAAATGCAAACCACCCCTATATGTGCTGCAATGAGTGCGTGCTGAATATCGTAGGGCACATTCAGAACTTAAAGGAAATTTGACTCTAGTTGTAAAACTCTTCAAATTAATAGTTGATCAATGCCAGAAGTTGGCTTAAGACAAGTTTCAAATATTATTTTACAGCACGCTTATTAATGTCAAATAAAACTGAAGGCAAATTTATTTATCTTGAAAAATATTTAGCAATATATAAAAACGTTTGGTGAACTTTCAGATTTGATACTGGCATATATATTCTTACTTCTTTATATTTGACATGTATATGAATATATGCTTACTTCTACCTTATTTATACAGCTACAAATGTACCTTATTTTTTACTCTGTTACCATTAATGCTGTACAAATTATTAATTCAATGTAATATTATGGTTTTAATCGTTCTTTGATATTAATAAATGTAGCTAAGGTAAATACACCTTCTTTAAATATTACAAAACTCTGACCTCTCTCGTGGATTTTCTAACTATCAAAATTCGCTTTGTGTTTTTATTGTACGTTGAACGTTTGCAAAAGCAGACATCGAGTGAAATCTGAACACAATTATTCCTCATTTTCAGTTTTAACAAAATTTTAACATTTTTAAAGTTGCCGAATTTAATTGTTAACTTTGTCACAATTTCGGATAATGTGTCTCAGATCTATTACGCGTAAATATTTTTTCATAGTTCCCACTTTTAAATTTATCAAATATTTATTAAAGAATGTTTTGCGATCGTTGAATCGTACCAAAATATTTAAAATTTCTTTATGTTATTTGATTGATTGTCTTAAATTCAGCAATATGCCACTTACTATGTTTTTCCACTATGCTCTTTAACTATTCACATCCTAGTTAGCACTTCTTACAAATAGCCCGATAAGTATCAATCATTCCCAGCGTGTTTATCACTATTAACTATCTCAACTTGCTCACCGACGATTTCAAAGAAAATTGGAAGGATACTGAAATGTACGGTTTGTCACGTTCTGTTATGGAAACAGGAATTTTATGCTCCTAAAGTCTCAAAAATAGTTACAAAATTTGTCAACAGTTGGCGCTTCTGAGAATTTTTAGATCACTTCATTTGAAATATTTTACCTGACAGATAAACGTCTGATAATTTTGTCTACAGATTGCACCACGGGGTTGAAGCAAATGGCGATTCTTTTGAGAACATTGCTCAATGATTTTTCATTTAGAAGCGCCATCTATTAACAGATTTTGCAATTAATTTTTAAAGTGTCAAAACTTGGTTTCTTCAAGCGGAAACCATCTTCTTACATCTTTTTTAAATTCAAATAATTAAGCGCTTTTAGGACGCCTTATATCTGAAAAAATAATTAGTAGTACTAAAAGGAACAAACCACTCAGTCATAAATAAAAATTTTATTTCTTTAAATTATATATTTCTCATATATTTCTTTAAATTGCATAGATTTGATATTAATACTTCTTAAGCATGAAGCCTTATTTACAATGACATTTGTTAATTCATACAATTATCCATAGGCAAGTGAAAAGTTAGTTTAAAAATAGATAAATGATACATTTTAGTATTATAAGTCTTATTATTGTGGCAAATAATTTATTGTGATCAAATAGTTCAAATCTACAAGAAACTTATTATTAGGTATTAATAAATCTAATTAACTCATAAGAATCACTCTTACATTGTTTTCAAAACTTCTTATATCATATGCCTAAATATCACAAGCTCAATAAACTATTACTTACATTAAGAAAAAGATAAACAATAATTATACTATCTTCAAATAGACTTCAAAATACTGTTATAAATAGGATAGTCTAAACATTTTTAGCCCGAAATTCAAAAAGTTGTTCCTTATTTTCAGCGCAAAATACTAAAAAAAAAGTGTTGGCACCATATAAAATTTGTACATTAAAAAATCCCTCAAGTTTATGACGTTTGTAAAGTTTTATTTTCAGCATACAGTTTCCATTCTTCTGCTTATGCATATTATTTTTTCTTAAAATTTTCTAAAATTTAAATTTATTTTAAAGTCATAGCTGCTAAGGTTATCTTACAAACAACTAACTTCCCCATTTTATGAAGGACTACACTGAGAAAACAATTATGGTCAAAACTACCAGAACGTGTAAACATTTACCGTGTTTCAGGCTCTATGGGAACACCAAAAAGCACTGAAATTTTTACCGAAGAGCTTTGATAATGATTTCGATAAAATTAACAGTATAATATGCTTTTATAATGTGTGAGGAAATTTGGTAAATGTGGTAAAATTTAGTAATTTTATCATGATATCTTAGAGCATGATATTAAAAACATTTGTTCGGTAAAATTTACTTTTCAGTTCTCTATTTTTTACTGAATACGCGGTATAATCTTTAAAACCAGAATTTCTGGCTAACTGTTACTATATGAATGGAAAAAGTACTAAGTGAAGACTACAAATACGTTACTGTCGTTATTTTTTGATTTCTTTAAAACCAGAGCTATGCGTATTTTAAAAGAAATGTAATTACCATATTGTACGGCAATTTTAACTGAATTTTTTTTCTCCGTGTAATAAATTGAAACACGCGTTTACAAGAAATATTTAGTCGCCGTGGCGACTGAATACTTCCTTGCCACACTCCGATTCCTTATTCGACAAGCAATACTCTGCAGACTGCTAAACACGCATTCCTCATTGTTTGACTTATCTTAGATAATTTAAGAGTGTTACGCTTTCTCTAATATTTATTTGGCTCTCATGTTCATTACTTTATATTGTTAATGAAGACAAGTTATCTTCATTAATATCATGCAACAAAAAATTTTTTAATGTAATAATATTACGTTTTTTTTTTTTTACAATTATGAGTAAATGTTTTTGTTTTTTTAAATTTTATACCGTTATAACTTTATATTTGGTCACAAATTTGCAACTAGTTAAACTATGCAGTAGTCTATGTCGTTTATAACTAGGGTTTATGCATAGAGGAAGGAAAACTGAAAAAAGTTAATTATTTGTCATTTTACAATAAATAATAATTTGTCATTTTTCAATAAATATAAATAATTATTTTCCATTTCTTTAAACAAACACAATTATTAGTTGTAACATTATTTTAGATACTTACATTTATAGGTTCAAATAACTGTTTTAATTTACCATAAGTCGAACTTTTCTAAAAGTAGGAAAAAATTACCCTCATCTATAGAGGTTCTTACACCCTTAAAAAGTCATAAATAAAAAAAGATAATTTATTATTTAAGTAAAAAATAATAACGTGAACAGATGACAAACCTTATAACCTACTTAACTTGGAAATTTTGTTATATTTAAAACAATTGGAACATAAATTTAAAAAAAAAAATATGACCAAAGGTATTCTTTAAACATTTCTCTCTAAAAAAGAATTGAAAGTGCCAGTTCTACATTTTAAGAATAACCAAGTATAAGTACGCAATTATTTCAGTCATTTATATTCCTTGAAAAACTACTATTGCATCAGCGTAGCATAAGGTAACGAAGAAAATATGTTTTTAGTTACAATGATGGGAATTCGGATAGATATGATGATTTTACTTTATAAAGTATGTTTAGAACTGTATGAAGACCAAAGGAGAGAACGGTTTCCGTCCACCAAAGCTGATTCTGAGAAAAAATGACGAAATCTTGCGCGCAGGAACTCTTTTTCAGCATTGCCAATTTTTTCTGTGTATTAACCCTCGAGTAGAGCCAATTTTCCTCATTCTTGTAATTCTCAAAATACTACAAAAGGTGATCAAATCGTCATTTTTGTGAAAAATGGACATAAACTATTTTCCCTCCTTAAACTTCATGTGTGAGTTATTGCCATGGAATAGAGCTGCAATTCAGAATTACAATTGTTTTGCCTTGATATGATAAATATGCATTATAATAATTGACAATTTTACAGGAATGTGATATGTCTTTACATATTTCTGACAATTTAAACGTCTATAAGATATATTTTGCACTTTATTACTATGTTTTACATAGCAATCAGCTGTTGTAATTATGTGAAATAAAAGAACAAGCAAAAGAAATAGGGAATAAAGATTGCTGTACTAGGCGTAATCATAATAGGCATTTCAAGATCACTGAATTTTTAACTAAAAAATAAATCTGAAATCTTTCTTTTTCCACATAGCTTTAGTGCCATAATAAATGTAGGGCTCCTAGCTTCAACCTGCGAAAATTTTACTGAGCATTTCTTCCCTATTATATATTACTATGGTAACTGGTTAATGTTATTATTTATAGTAAGCTCTTGATATGTCTATTGTAATTACTCTTAATAAAACATTACAGTAACCTTCAATAAGAGTTCACATTAACAGCATTAAAAGTCTGAATGACTCTCTTGGCTGATAAAATGGTTGTTACATGAGTGCTTTAATGGTAAAATAAATCTTAATTCAAGATACATATCTTGAAATAATAAAATATTTTAGTAAAAATAAATAAAACTTAACTCCTAAAGTTTTATTAATTGAGAACAAAATATTGTAACCCTCATTATAAGTCAACATTAAAAACATTATGCATGACTCTCTTGGCTGACACAATTTAATTGTTACATGAGTACTTTAATAGTAAAATAAATCTTACTCCAAGATGCATATTTTGAAATAATATAATGTTGAAGCAAAAATGAAATAAAATTAACTCTTAAAGTTGTATTAATTTAGAACACAGTAGCGCAAGGTAAAATGATTCTAACCATTCACGAGTTTAAATTGTTAATAATTAAATAATTTTAAAGTATAAGATAAATTAATTCTAACAATTTCTTTTTACTGAGTATGTTAAAACTAGTTTTTAAATTTTTCATAACTAAAAAGGCTTTTATTTAAGAAAACAAATGTTGCTAAATAGTGTCTTTGTCTTACTTCAGTCAAGAACAAAAGTTAATTATGAAAAGATTTTAAATTTATGATTCATAGAATTTAATCCGTTCTAATAAATTTATAAAACTGAATAGAATCAATAGTTAATAGAATAAAAAATAAATAGAATCCACACTAAATAACTTATAGAATATAATCCACCGTTTATAGTTTACTTATTACATTCATTTTGGAGTCTAAAGAATTGTTTTTAAGTAAAAATAAGATCTAAAATGTAATTTTTGGGTAAAAAATTAATCTTAGAATATGACACGCACGTTATGCCAAATTTAAAAGCAAAATCCAACATAATTCGTACCGGAAGTATGGGTGCTAGGTTTCCTATGCTTTAATATTAATGAAAAAATGTTTCTAAGAACTTCAAGTATAGTTGTTTGAAACAATGTTTATCTGTAATTTCATTGGAAACAGTTTGTTTATAGCATTATTTATTTATCATAAAGAAATTATTTAATTATACTATAAATTCAAAGATTGACTATTATTTCTAATCTAAAAGTAGAGTTTACAGTAATATAATAAATATATGGATATTATTATAAATGTTAATATAAATTTCTATTTGCAAAACTTAAAATTGTGAAAAAAAATTTAAAAAAACTTAATAATTTACAATTAAGTTTTTTTAGAAAAAACAAACGAAATT